TTATCATTTATTGTTTGTGTTGTTGTTCTTTTTGAAACCATGTATAACAATCTTTGTATCATTAACGCTACACGACTTTGTAACCCCTTTGCAAAGGCGAAAGCCATAGCAAATAAATGTTGATTGATTGATTGATTGATTGATTTTCATGATACGATCTCAGTTTCGAAACGGATTAATTTCGTATCCTGAGGTACCACTGTATATGTTTAATTTCTGCATTTTATCTTCTTTTTAACAATTAAAATACTCATTAAATATCAAAAGTGCTTTTTTTTAATGTTTATTTTATCGTAATTTGATCCAAAAATGAATTTTAGGAACTCGCTGTAAATTATCTCAGATACTTGCTGTAAATAGACCCATTAACATCTAGTTTGTGTGAAATTTGAGAGGATGGTGTTATCTTTTAAGTTCATAATAGAATGTCAGTATAGCCCACACTGACTAACTACTACTACTAATGTCAATAAGTTGCTAATTGTTTCATTTTCCTGTAAAGAAAAACTCTTTCTGGTTGTAAGTTAGTCAAAGTACAATGTTATTATTTTATTGTACCCAAAAGAATGTTTTCTTTAACATTTATTTAATAACTGGTTTTGTTAGATCTGATTAATTATATTTTTTAGTTGCAGTTTAACTAGTATATTAGTCAATTTGCAAAAATACAGTATATACATACACATATATATACACAATCCAAGAATCTTTTTAATACAGCAGAATAATATAAATACATTTGGCTTCTTTTTTATCAAGCATCTTCAGGTTCTAACTTTAGAACATAAACTGTATAGAATGTTACTGTCTGGAATATCACAGGGCAATGCTCTTCCTTATTTAATTGATTCAATTTAACATTTAAATGTAATAATATAGAATACAAAATTAACTGACAAGTAAACTAGTAATGTGCAGTACTACAAATGTAAATAAAGTACAGTAGACCCCCTATAACGCGGTAGATACATTCCTCGTTATACAAATTTCACATTGTAGGAATCCTTAAATACATGAGCCAATCACAGCCCAACACGTGTGAAGTTTACGGACTACAGCTGTTTGAAAGGTTTTCTTCCATAAAATTAATCGATTCTAGACTAATTCGACTTAACATTTCCAAAATACGTATAATTTTTTGGGAATAATCTGTATAAAATATGCTATAAACAAAAAATTGTAGGATTACTTACCGAGTGTGCACCATTCGATGTCACCATTGCTTAAGCTTGTGTTCGTCGCGGAGCAGCGCACCAAACAGTGGCCGCGATTTCTGATGTTATTTTTCTGCGAAAAATTCGTTGAACTTTGGAGACATCATTAATAGAAATAATTTTTATGGCCGTTGAATAAGAAATGTTTCTTTAAATGTTTCTTTCACAAGAAATGTATAAAATTATAGTGCTGTATTAGACTTACGGTACCTAATTTACATACTGTACAGACGATAGTAAACTCAACTTACCCACCTAAATTCTCCATAGCGTGGCGCTGGACGGCAGAAAGTATATATATAATTATAATAAAGTTACAATAAATTAAGTTAATATATAATTATATATACAGTACCTAATTTATATATAATTAATGTATAATTATATGTACAGTACCTAATTTATATATAATACTGTACAGACGATAGCA